CGGCTGAAATCAGCCGTACCTTGGCTTGCTTCCCATGGCTTCGGGTCGGCCGAACATGCTCGGCATGTTCGACCGACCCGAAGTGCAGAAGGAGTTTGACTCAGCCGATCCAACATCTGGATCAGCTGAGCTGAACCTCCGGCAGGCTACTCACTGCTGAATAGCCCGTACAGCACCCCTTCGGTTCTACTGAACCGAAGGGGTCCTGGGGCCGAAGCTACGGCTAGATGCTTCGGCTGCTTCGTGAATAGACCCCATAGTACTAACAGATGATTACTCCAGTGTTTGTCCTTCACACAGAGGATTGGTAATATCACCGATATTTAAAGATCCTCTGCTTGGCCACACATGATGGCAGTCCACCCACATTTCCATTTCATCATTTCCAAATTTGATTCCTTCCTGTTATATCCCCTCCCAGTATTTAAATGCTAATGACTGGGAAGGTGGGCGAAAAGAAAGGATACTCACATTGACCAATACAAATATTGGAAATGTGCCTTTTGTTATGTAGATTAAACCCATTAGCAAATCCAAAGCCACCTTGTGTTAATGAGTGAAGGGTAAATGTATTTAAGGAGAGGCAAGGCTCAGTCACAAAAATCACCGGCAGGCCAGGAGAACAAGGAGCCTTTGAGACATCTCTACACTACACCATTCCAGGTATCTATATTTTTTATGACTGTACACTTGTGCTAGATTTTGAAATGTGTTTTTAATGTGTCACGTGCATTACACATTGGAAGCATTATAGCAATCTTTCTCAACCTTTTTACCCCAGAGGAACCCTTGAAATTGTTTTCAGGTCTTAGAGAACCCCTGCTAAAATCCATTGGGAGTCAGTGGATAAAATAACACTTAAACTTATGGCCAGGGAAACATGCCCCCTTACAACGCCCCATTACATTGTTTTCAGGTCACTTACAGTGATGGTCAGAATGCCACAGCTAAACAGATCACTGGTGTGATTCCACTTTAGCTCTGCCAAGTGATGTAGGCACCCTCAGATGAGAGGTAAATCAGACACAACTCAAGGAACCCTATACATTTATGGAGGAAACCCTAAGGTTCCACAGAATCCTGGTTAGAGAAAGGCTTTATTATAGTCTTAATTTCAATTTTTCACTTTTACCAATTAAGAAGAGACACCACCTCCCAGCAAAACAGGGTGTGCTCTTAATTTTGTAAATATATTCTCCTTTATGGACAAAGAAACTTAATTAAAGTACATACTAATTGAAATCTGACAGGGAGTGTGCAAGGCATCTGAGATCCAAGTCTGGTCCATTTTGACAAGGTTTAGGTGATTACCATTGTCTGTGGACAGGCAGACACATCTGTGGATCACCACTCCTCAAGCTGTACTGTACATCCTTTCTGCAAATTCTCCAGACAAGCATCACATCGGGCATCTGAGCTGGGTATAAAATTAGTCCAACATGTCCCTGGTTATTAGATACAGGGACATGTATGTTTACATATTTTATGTAAAGGTATTCAGACAAAATAATGTGGGATTTTTTAGATAACACCAAAATGTATCTTTTGGCCATTGAATGGGATGGTGAGTAATAGCAAAGGTTTATCACACTGTCCAATATTGGAAACATGCCTTTTGTTAGGTAAATTAAACCTATTAGTAAATCTATTATCACCTCATGTTGGTGAATTGTATTTAAGGTGAGGCTGAGCTCATTCAGTTACTAGAGTTTCAGAATTGTCAGGAGAGGAAGGAGCTGCTGACATATCTTCATACTTCAGTATTCCAGGTATCTTATGTGCTGTATAATGGTGCAATTGAGTAGCTTATTCAAATGTTTTTGCTTACTATGACAAATTTCAGTTTGAATGTATTAGTCTTATTTTATTTCATTTTTTAGCAATCTTGTACATACGCTTTGTTCACCATTTCCAATTTAATTTGCTAAGATTAAATAAGTTTACTTATTTTATCTGCAAATTATTGGGTATTTATAGTAGGAATTTGTTTTTAACATGATTGAATAATTGGAGTTAAAATTCACAATTTTTAAAAATGAAGATACTAAACTAAACCAACTAAATTAGTAAATCAACCTCATTAACTCACTTCAAACTTAACCTAAACTACCAGTCAGTCATGGAGTGGTTTTGCAGCAGTTGCTACAAAGTAGACAGAGAAAGATATGACTGCATGTGTACAATATTGAAAAAACCTTCTATGATCCTTGACTGTAGCAGCTCCCCTTTGGTTTTAAGAATTTGAATCCCTAACCTAGAAAAAGTATACACATAAAGAATATCATGATCAACACAGTTGTGTTGCCGGTAAGTGATTACGAATATATTGATGCCAGAGGATCAACATAATAGCCATACTAGCTTTTTAGAAAGTCAACAATGGCATTCTTTATGTATCTGGGGGCATAATGGGTCTGTGTATGGCCAGCCTTCATGTGACCGGTAAGGAGCTGTGCATATTTTATTCTAAAGAATTCAGGTTAAAACAATATGGAATCATTGAGAAATACTGCAAAGTATCTGTTGACAGCTTCCATCATACTGAAATCATTTTGTCAATTGCTTTTGGCATCCACTGAGCAAGTTTCATGCATTGGATACTGAGATTCCTTCATGATATTTTCTTTCCTTGTATGAAAATGTTACTGACTAGGAAAGTAAGAAAAAAAACAAAGGGTAGTCACACTGTTCAATTAGGTTATTGCAGACATGACTTTTGCAATTAAGATTAAGCCTATTAGCGTATTACCCCTCCCCCCATGTATTCCCATGTTGGTGGGAGGTGTTAAATTGTTATTGCTTTTGCCTTCCTAACTGGAACCTCTACGTCTCACGAACATTGCAGTTATTTGATCGAAGCATTTCTAAAACTGATTATACAATATTCAGAAACAATTTCACATTATTCTGAAAACGAGAAGCTTCACTACAAGTGAATAAAATTGCTGTTGCATAAGAAATGGCATCTTAGTGGGGCATTCAGACAGTCCATCATATTTCTTTGCTTGTGGTTTTTCATAGAAGGGATTTAGATACCAATATACATGTCATTTGTGACTGCTACAATGTAATGAGAGATATTTAGCATTAAGTATCAGCCCATCGCACAGAGATTTTCCACTTTGTGTGATAACAAGTAATTGTGATGGTCAGAGCTGTTAAATGATTTCTATTCTCTATTGATTTTAACTAACCTGGAAAAAGCATACAGCTTCTGACTTTCCTGATCAGTATACTCATTCCAGATAAGTGTCTGAGCAAATATTCAGCAAAATGGCCACACAACTTGATTTTCAGAAGATCTGTGATGGAGAATTCTGTGTTGTTTTCAGGAAAGGTTCACTCTCAAGGTTGCCATATTAAGCCCAACATTTATCCAAGTATCACATTGGACTATTGAACTGGGTATAACATTAGTCCAGCATTTGACTGGTTTTCAATAAAATTCAATATTTTATGTAAAGGTATTAGAGAAAATAACGGGTGATTTAAAAAAAAAAAACACAGTTATCTGTTGGCCATCTCAAATGATAATAAAGGCATTCTGTTTTCTTTTGGCATCTATTGAGCCATTTTTTGAGCTGCCAAAGTTAAGGATCCTTTCTGACATAGTCCCTCCCGGTATTCAAATGATAATGACTTTGATGGTAAATAATAGCGAAGGATTATCACACTGTCCAATATTGGTAACAGGCCTTTTGTTAGGTTAATTAAACCATTTAGCAAATATAATATCACCTCATGTTGGTGAGTTGTGGTGAATTGTATTTAAGGTGAGGCTGAGCTCAGTCAGTTACTGGAACTATAAAAACTTATCAGGAGAGGAAGGAGCTGCTGAGTTATCTCTATACTACACTATTCCAGGTATCTATACATTGTAAAATGGTGCAGTTGAGTAGTTTGCTTACTATGACAAATTTATTTCAGTTAGAACTTATTACAGACTTGTTTTATTTCATTTTTTAGCAATTTTGTGCATATATTTTGTTCACCATTTCCAATTAAATTGCTTGAGATTAAATAATTAATTGGTAGATTAGATTAGGTTTACAATCAATCGGGGAGTGAATTGAAATCAAGTTTTAGAAATAACAAGAAAGATTTGAATGTGTGTAAAAAAAAAAGAAGAGAATTCCTTCTATGATTCTCATTGTAATCAACTTCAAAACAAAAATGGGAATCTATCCTAATGCAGTATGATTAGCTGGTACAATCCAACACTATGGTAATGTCCAATGAATCGTAAACCCTATGGGACTGCTACTGCACACATTGTTGAGGGGAAAAAAACCTAATACTGTAATACTGAAAACAAAAAGAAGAAAGGGCACAGCACCTCGTGTATTGCTAAATATAAGTAGAAAGAAAATGACAAAATTTGCATTAAAATTGACAAAAAGCGCAACCAGCTTTCTAATATCTTTGGCAATGTACAGGGTTCTGTGTCCTCTCTTTTTTTGAATCAGATTCTGTAGCTTTCAGTCCTTCATCAAGAATATCACAAGACACACCAGACTGGAGTTAAAACGTTCATAGGAAATGTCCAGCCGTATGAGATAGGCCAAGTGGAAAGCTGCTGTGCACTCCGAGAGAGTCTGAGATAAGTAATCTAAAATAAAATCCCCAGTACCTCTTGCTACATTCATGTTTTTTGGGGCCATGCCCCTTCATGAGGCACAGTGTTAAGGGGACACATCACTGAAACATGCTAGTGAAGTGATTGTCATCCAAGATTACAATTGTGATCCCCTTTCCTTGCATCAATTTGGGGCATGATTGTAGTTTACTTCACATAGGTATTCCCAGATCTCACAGCAGAGTGTTTCACCTGGCTTGTCTCCTCTCCTATTGCTGGACATTTTGTGACAGTTTTAACTTCAGTCCTGTGTGACCTGGATTTTTTGGGGGAAGTTATTCTTAGTGAAATGCCAAAATCTAATACATATCAATATATCTTTATTAAAGTCGTTTTATCTGCATTATTCAGTGCACTCTGTTTCTTTTTGGCACTGAGGAAGTTGTTCAGTTAGCAAAACCTCAAAACGCAATATCTGATCTCAATCTGTTAATATTAAACGCAATATCTGATCTCAATCTGTTAATATTAAGTGATAACTTTTATTTTTATTTTTCATACAGGTATACTAATAAGCCCAATTAACCTTTCAACACCTACTGTGAAAAACATTTGCAGCTATACAGAACTTCGTTATCACAAGATGAATAAAGTTGGAGAGAAGCCAAATGAGTGTTCCAAGTGTCAGAAGAGTTTTCCTGATAAGTCAAAACTAAAGGTTCATCTTAGGATTCATACAGGAGAAAAACCATTTATATGTCCAGAATGTGGAGAGTGCTTCTCACAAAGTTCTAATCTTACTAATCACCACAAGACTCCCACCGGAGAGAAACCATTTAAATTTTCAGAATGTGGCAAGTGCTTCTCATATAGTACAAGTCTTACTAAACACCGGAGGATTGACACTGGAGAGAAACCATTTCAATGTCCAGAATGTGGAAAGTGTTTCTCTCAGATGTTTACTCTTACGGAACACCAGAAGGTTCACACAGGAGATAAACCATTTGAATGTTCAGAATATGGCAAGTGCTTCTCACAAAGTTCACATCTTACTCAACACCAGAGGACTCACACAGGAGAGAAACCATTTAAATGTTCAGAATGTGGAAAGTGCTCCTCACATAGTACAAGTCTTACTCAACACCACAAGACTTACACAGGAGATAAACAATTCAAATGTTCAGAATGTGGAAAATGCTTCTCACAAAGTACAAGTCTTACTAAACACCACAAGACTCACACAGGAGAGAAACCATTTAAATGTTCAGAATGTGGAAAGTGCTTCTCACAAAGCTATAAACTTAATATACACCAGAGGACTCACACAGGAGAGAAAACCATTTAAATGTTCAGAATGTGGAAAGTGCTTCTCACAAAGTACAAGTCTTACTGAACACCACAAGACTCACACAGGAGAGAAACCATTTCACTGTTCAGAATGTGGAAAGTGCTTCTCACAAAGTTCTAAACTTAATATACACCAGAGGATTCACACGGGAAAGAAACCATTTAAATGTTCAGAATGTGGCAAGTGCTTCTCAAATAGTACAAGTCTTACTGAACACCACAAGACTCACACAGGAGAGAAACCATTCCAATGTTCAGAATGTGGCAAGTGCTTGTCACGAAGTTCTAATCTTACTCAACACCAGAGGATTCACACAGGAGAGAAACTACATAGAGAATGAGGCAAGGATTCTTCATAGACAACAAATCTTAAGTAACATGAAGATACACGCACTGGAAAAGCCATATTCATCCATATGATCAATATTTTACATGTAAATAAACTCAGATCTTGTTCTAAAAGCTTCACAGAGAAGAGAAGCCATATTCTTATTGTTGTATTAATTTAAAGCTTTTCATTCTCATGCATGTAAACATAAAACAGTTTTAACCCCTTCATGACTGAGGCCCTTTTTTCATTTTTTGCACCCATGTTATATTCCACATTTTAGGCCTGAACCGTATTTTTCCGTATAAGATGCTACTTTTTCATTAAAATGTTTACCTGAAAATAGAGGGGCGTCTTATACACGGGGTCCGAGAGGAGAACCGCGGTTGCGAAACTGCGAAACAGATCTTTTGTACCTGACGTCAGCCGGTGCTCGGGAGAGCGTGTATCCAGTGCCCGAAGCTGTAATGTCGGAGCATAACGTGATTGAGGTAAGTGTGATGCATTATACCATTTAAAATATTGTTTTCAGAAATTTTGGGCAAGAAAAGTTGGGGGCGTCTTATACATAGGGGTGTCTTATAGACGGAAAAATACGGTAAGTTGCCAGTGACAACAGTGATATTTTAGACACAGGAGGAGCAGCTATGTTCTTATATTTCTTGGATACTCTGGGAATGTTAGATCTTTCCAGACCCATATGTGTTCCAACATTTCTTCTATTCTGCATAATATAAAATAAAAACAATAATATGGACAATTGAAACTCTACATAATATATAATAACAAAGCCTAAGCCTGCTGACATCATCAGGTCTATGCAAGTTATTTTCACTTGCATTAAATGTGAGAACAGCAAGGGACATTCCACAACTGGAGCCAGAGAGAGGTGAGCGGTCACCGCCACAGGACCGAGGAACACATTAGTGTTTCTTCTTTATTCTGCTCCCTAGACCAAAACAAGTAGTTAACCCTTGCAGTGCGGGGGTAGCCCCATTGCAATGTTTCACTATTTTAAAATCCTAGATATCTGTTTTAAAGCTTCTCCTAGGATCTGCACTCTAATATTCACACAACTCCTCACCCACCATAGGATGGATTAAAGACTTTGAAGTTGGATTTCTAGCAGGAAAATCTCGGTTTCTTTGGAAGTTTAGATTTAGCACAAAACATAATCGCAGTTTCCACCAGGATGCTTTCAAGTAACACAGAAGTTTGGACCAAACAAATTATAAACGAAATATTTAACAAATTATCTTGTAAAGAGATAAAACATGCTTTCCACACAGGACCCAATTGTATTATATATACTGTGTAAGAACTCTGATATATGAACTTTCTGTGCTATTGAGCCCTCAGGTCAAGGAAAGAGAAGATGATGACCTGGTTGCTCTAATCACAGTCTCGCCGAAATGTAAAATTGGAAGGGGATTAGTTGTTATAAGAAAATAACAGAAATGTTTTATTGTACAGAAGATATGACTTATAAAAATGTGTCCAAGTACCTTAACTACGGGTATTCCTCACTTAACGACCGAGTTCCGTTCCTGCGACCAGGTCGTTAAACGAATTGGTCGTTAAGTAAGGAACTCTATGAATTGGTCGTTAGGTGAGGAACTCTATCCAGTACTGTACTGCATTAGTACAGTACTGTATAGTGTTGCAGATGTACATTGCTGAACAGTGTACTGTACATCGGGCAATAAAATACTTGATTTTTCACTGCGACCCGCAGTGAAGAACGGAGGACATCACTTCCGCCGGTGACACGTCGCACTGACGCTAACACCAGGGTCGGAGGTCGATCGGAGGTCGGTCATAAGTGCGAGTGGTCGCAAAGCAGCTAAGTCGGTAAGCGAGGATTAGCTGTATATATAAAATATATATATATATATCACTAGATACAACTGTTGGTAAACATTACAATCTCTAAAAACAAAATAAAAAAGTAGAGCTCCATGCACACTTCCATTTTAATAATTTATTGTATAAACTAAGCATCTAAACACATAGATCACATTTGGAGACAATCAGCCTCAATGTGTCCATGTGATGAGGTTCATTATCCAAGGCTTTGTTATCAAATATGCAATGTATGCTGGTAAATTCTATCAAATGATCCATAAAAAAATTGTCAGACTTTCTCCATGAGCATCATAACTTTTCTGTTATCTGTTATGATAAAGTTTTAACAAACATTTCCAAATGTTTTTCATCCAAAGCTGTTTTAGCATATATGAAATGTATTATGTGTCATCATTTCAATCTGTACATGTGCAGAGTCCACATAGGTGATGGCAGTTCACCCATAATTGGGTTTTGCCATAAGGTCCTAGAACTATATGCCAAATTTTCTCCACCAACAACTAACCTTTCAGTAATGTCCTATAAAGGATGTGATTAACACACATTTCCATTTCATCAATATCATATGCAGGGGCATAAGGCTATATTTCCATCAAATAACTACTTACTCTCAGAGAAATTAATTGCACATTAGTCCCTGCTTATATCATATATTAGGGGAAGTTATCACTGATCTAATCCACCATGAATCAATAGAACAAAAAATGCATCACAGTTGTTACAGGTATCACAGGCAGCACAGGGATCATGGCTATCCCTAGTTAAGGGATCTTACTGTAATATGTATCTGAAATACACTGAAGTAACTCCCCCTGCTTATTTGTTTTATATTTTCATATATCAGAATCTCATTCAGTTTTTAGTACAGTCTGTGGCCCCATTGGGAAGATATTCCCTCATTTCCTTACCTGGCAACCTATATGCATCAAGATAGATTTTCTCCCTAGGTAACCTTTCTGAAATCTAATCCTCATTCAAACTTCATATCAAGCTTTTTAATTGGGAATACATTGGTTAATTTGTGACCACCCTACATGTGAAGGGTTATATAAGATGCATTTTATATACCACTTTTTAGGGGAAACAATAAGTATCTGTGGACCATTTCTATTGATAATAAAATCATTATGTTATCTGTTTTTGGTATTTCTTGAGCTAATGATCATGTAGATTAAACCCATTAGCAAATCCAAAGCCAACTTGTGTTAATGAGTGAAGAGTAAATGTATTTAAGGAGAGGCAAGGCTCAGTCACAAAAATCACTGGCAGGCCAGGAGAACAAGGAGCCTTTAAAACATCTCTACACTACACCATTCCAGGTATCTATATTTTTTATGACTGTACACTTGTGCTAGATTTTGAAATGCTTTTTTAATGTGTCACATGTATTACATATTAGATGCATTATAGCAGCTTTTCTCAACCTTTTTACCCCAGAGGAACCCTTGAAATTATAGTCAGGTCTTAGAGAACCCCGGCTAAGATCACTGGTGTCATTTCACTGCACCTGCCAAGTGATTATGGACCCTGAACTATGTAGGCACCCTCAGATGAGAGGTAAATCAGATACAACTCAAGGAACCCCTATCAATTTCTGGAGGAAACCCTAAGGTTCCACAGAATCCTGGTTAGAGACTGGTTTTATTATAGTCTTAATTCTTTTTTTCACGTTGTACCAATTATATATAGAATGCATTCACATTTCTTTAAGCAATGTTTATATTTATTTTTTACAATGACTTTTTTAATTTTGTTGCAAATTCTCTTTGTCTTTTTTCCTGGTGGGCAGTCAGTAAGCAAATTATTCATTTTATACCAGATTTATATAGCTCCAACAATTTGTGCAGCACTTTACAAAATGGAGGAGTTAGTACAGTTACAATACAATTCACAATACAATACAATTTCAGTACAATAGGGTTAGGAGGGCCCTGCTCGTAAGAGCTTACAATCTAAAAGATGGGTTATTATTACAATACATATGCAACAAATGGGCAATTATAACAATGTGCCACTTTCCTGGCTAAAAACAGAGTCACAAAAAAAGGTCAATGATACTTAGGAGAATTAACTTTGCAAAGAATAGCTGGTCAAGTGCAAGGAAAACAAGAAGAAAATATTATTACGTGCACAATGATTGGATGATGAAGTCAGCAGAGCTTCACCTCAATCACTGAGCTAAACAAAAATCCCCTTTGTAAACTGAAAATTCTCTGGCAAAGTGAACAGCCTAGTTGCCTTTAGTAAATCAACCCCATTGCGTCTAGTCATTACTATATGAATGCAGCAGACTAAGGTTACCAGAGTGATAAACTATAGTTGTACACTCTGAATTATTGATGTAAAATCCAGTAAAGTCATATATACCGTATTTTTCGCTCCATAAGACGCACTTTTTTCCCCCCAAAAGAAGGGGGAAAATGTGCCTGCGTCTTATGGAGCGAATCCCGACGCCCGAGACATGCAGTTTCGGGCGCCGGGCGAGTAGTAGGAGCCACTGCTCGTTTAATACGTGTGATCTAATGAGATCACTCGTATTGAAACCGAGCAGCGCCGACGATCGAGATCACCATAGAGCAGACAAAGTACAGACGTTCTTCGTCTGCTCTGTGTGATCACTGAGACCATGGCGCTGTAATCACACCGCCACCTGTCTCAGCGGACACTAACTGCAGCTTCTGTCATAGAAGCTGTGACAGAAGCTACAGTCTGTCGAGTGCTCCATAAGGCGCGCCGGACCTCCCTGCGTCCTATGGTCCGGTGCGTCTTATGGACCGCAAAATACGGTATGTAGTTTGTTAGAGTTTAGGGCTTTCATTTCATAAAGCTGTGGAAGGCAGTGATGTAAACTTCAAATGTATTGCACTTCACTGGTGCCAAGCAACTCTTAGAATCTTTGACGTGACTAAATCAGGGCATATCACCCAGGATATCTTCCAAAGAAACACGGATCACACAGGACTAGAGTTAAAACACTTGTGGATAGTCAACAGTTGTGGATAGTCTACCTTGCTGAGGCCTAAAAAGAGGTTAATTTGGGAGGGCAGATACTTCTGCATTATTCAGTGCACTTTGTTTCTTCTTTTTGGTGCTGTGGGCACTGAGGAAGTGGTTCACTTAGAAAAACCTCAAAACACAATATCTGATGTCAGTCTGTTGTTCACATCAAGATTCTGTGATAACTTTTATTTTTATTTTTCATACAGGTATACTAATGAACCCAATTAGCCGCTCATCATCTACTGTGGAAAACATTTGCAGCTACACAGAACCTCGTTATCACAAGATGAGTAAAGTTGGAGAGAAGCCGCATGAGTGTTCCGAGTGCCAGAAGAGATTTCCTGATAAGTCACAACTAAAGGTTCATCTTAGGGTTCACACAGGAGACAAAACGTGTATATGTCCAGAATGTGGAAAGTGCTTCTCACAAAGTTCTAGTCTTACTGCTCACCACAAGACTCACACCGGAGAAAAACAATTTAAATGTTCAGAATGTGGAAAATGCTTCTCACATAGTACAAGTCTTACTAAACACCACAAGACTCACACAGGAGAGAAACCATTTAAATGTTCAGAATGTGGAAAGTGCTTCTCACATAGTACAAATCTTACTAAACACCACAAGACTCACACAGGAGAGAAACCATTTAAATGTTCAGAATGTGGAAAGTGCTTCTCACATAGTACAAATCTTACTAAACACCACAAGACTCACACAGGAGAGAAACCATTTAAATGTTCAGAATGTGGAAAGTGCTTCTCACATAGTACAAATCTTACTAAACACCACAAGACTCACACAGGAGAGAAACCTTTTAAATGTTCAGAATGTGATAAGTGCTTCTCACAAAGTGCCCATCTTACACAACACCAGAAGACTCACACAGGAGAGAAACCATTTCACTGTTCAGAATGTGGAAAGTGCTTTTTACAAAAAGCTACACTTACTAAACACCAGATGATTCACACCAGAGAGAAACTACGTAGAGAATGTGGCAAGGATTCTTCATAGACAACAAATCTTAAGTAACATGAACATACACACACTGGAAAAGCCATATTCATCAATATGATCAATATTTTACATGTAAATAAACTCAGATCTTGTTCGAAAAGCTTCACAGAGAAGAGAAGCCATATTCTTATTGTTGTATTAATTAAAAGCATTTCATTCTCATGCATGTAAACATAAAACAGTTTTAATATACTTTTTTCATTTCTCTTCTAGAATTGATTAGTATTGCAGCCACAAAAATATTTTTAATTGCCACACACATTTTTAGAAGATGGCTGCATTGCAAATATGTAAAATAAAATACGTTTGTACATTTGAATTAATTTTGTAGAAATAGCCAAATGATTGCAAAATAAACTGTGTAACTATGCTAATTATTCATGGTTTGATTTTTATCAGTTTAACTTTAAATCATGTTTTTAAGCTTGGTGTAAATGTCTGAATTCTGTTCTATAGTTTATCTAGGAGAGAAGATTTAAACTCTCCACAACTATATTCTAAAGCCAAAATAAATCTGTTGTCAGGAGTTAGGTTTTAAAGTGTTAGCAACAACAGTGATATTTTAGACACAGAAGGAACTGCTATGTTCTTATATTTCTTGGATACTCTGGGAGTGTTCGGTCTTTCCTGACCTATGTGTGTTCCAACATTTATTGTATTCTCCATAATATAAAATAAAAACAATAATATGGACAATTGAAATTCTATATAATATGGCAAGCAATCGTGCAAGCACAGAACAATATGCAGATATATGTCCAACAAAGTCCCTGAGAGATAGAAGAAACATAACACTTCAGAATTAAATATAGTTTTTTTTTAGATATTTATCCCTATTTACTACATAATGTCAATTTGTACTATTGTTTAATGTTTTTTATTTTTAATGTGTGCTTTGAAATAATAAAGCCTAAGCCTGCTGATATCATCAAGTCTATGCAAGTTCTATTTACCTGCATTAGATGAGAGGACGGCGAGGTTCATTTCGCAATTGGAGCCAGAGAGAGGTGAGCGCTCACAGCCACAGGACTGAAGAACAGATGAGTGTATCTTTATTCTGCTCCCTAGGGCAAAACAATGGGTAGCCCCACTGCAACAGTTCACTTTTTAAAATCCTAGAGATCTGTTTTAAACCTTTCACTGCCAATCCCTCCAGGAAGATTTTGCACCTCAGCTGGCCATACCATTTTTGCAATTTTTCCTATTGATCTAATTTTCTACTGCTGCATTGCTAGCATTTGTAAAAGACCACCCAAACCAAATATTGTCTGAAAGCACAGGCCCAGTAGAATACAAAGATGGTGCTACTAAATTTTTAGGCCCTGCGATATTCGCGCAAATGTTTTTCAAATCAGTATTAAAACGATAAAAATACACAATTCAATTGATAAAGCACTAAAATCAGTATCAGTGCACCAAAAAAAATTCTGACAATCTAAAAGATAAAACTGTATTGAGTTAATAAATAACAAATATTTTCACATTGTAAATTGCACCTTTTTGCGAAAAGGTAAAAAAAATGATGGAACGCAAAACTGTAACTAAGCGACTTATGTTAAAAATCGTTTTTGCGCTGTTTGTGTTGTGAAAATACAATAGAGGCGTATATTTAATTGCAACACCGCATATCACAACGCATGGCAATGCACCACAAAGCTTTGCCATGCGCTGCCACAGTTAAATTAATGGGTTTTTTTTAAAGAAAAAAAAAAGAAAAAAATAATGCACTGCGAAGCGTTCTAAGAACACACTGCAGCACATGTGCATGGCGTACACCACAATATGGTGCACGTGTATGTTATGTGTGTGTGGGGGAGGGGGGTTTGTGGATTTTTTATTAGTTTTTTTACAAACTTTTTCTTTATTCTTATTAATTTTAGTTTTTTTACATTTTTTAAAATTATTTTCTTTTTTTTCTGTTGGGGGCGATACGGTGAAATATCTGGGGTCTAAACAGACCTCTGACATTTCCCTTTTGAAATAGAAAAAGAAATTGAGGACATAAGGTCTACAGTTTCTTTCTCTGCAGCCTCTGTTCTAAATGAATGGAAAGCACTCAGTACAGAGGTTTCCCATTCATTCAGAAACTGTTGATAGTAAAATATTTACGATCAACCAGTTTCTGAATGGGGAGAAGCCTCTATAGTGTGTGCTACACATTTTTTAAAATTATTTTCTTTTTTTTCTGTTGGGGGCGATACGGTGAAATATCTGGGGTCTAAACAGACCTCTGACATTTCCCTTTTGAAATAGAAAAAGAAATTGAGGACATAGAGTCTACAGTTTCTTTCTCTGCAGCCTCTGTTCTAAATGAATGGAAAGCACTCAGTACAGAGGTTTCCCATTCATTCAGAAACTGTTGATAGTAAAATATTTACGATCAACCAGTTTCTGAATGGGGAGAAGCCTCTATAGTGTGTGCTACTCCCCAAATCACGTCCTGCTCATCCATAGCTGGATAGTACTATGTGTCACCAGTTATTTACAAACATTGGAGTGATCAGACGATCTCTCCAGTGTTTGTCCCTCACACAGAGGATTGGTAATATCACTGATATATACGGATCCTCCGCTCGGCCATGCACAAAGCCGCTGTCATCCTGAAACTGACAGGATGACAGTGGCTCCTCTTTCCTCCCCGCTTTCTGCTCTCTTATGCTCCTCCCCCACTGTAGGATGGATTAGAGATCTGTTTCTTTGGAAGTTTAAATTTGCCACAAAAAGTAATCACAGTTTCCACCAGGATGCTTTCAAGTAACACAGAAGTTTGAACCACACAAATTATAAACTAAATATTCAACACATTAACTTGTAAAGAGATACAAGATTTTTTCCACACAGGACCCAATTGTATTATATATACTGTGTAGGAACTCTGATATATGAACTTTCTGTGCTAATGAGGTCAAGGAAAGAGAAGATGATGATCTGGTTGCTCTAATCACACCTCGCCTAAATCTACAATTGTAAGGGGTTCATTTGTTGTAAGAATATAACAGAAAATTTTTATTTTACAGAAAATATGACTTTTATATTTTAATTATGATAATTTTAAAGTAGGAGTCCCGCAATCAGTTACCTTGAAAATTACATAAAACATTTGGAAATATCCATGGAACTCATGAGGTCCTATACATTCCATATTCCTTTCAATGAGCTGAAGATAGTATGAGCCGCCCAGCTCAGAGAGATTTTCCACACAGGTGTGTGATAATAAGTACATCTAATGTTTAGAACTGCTTGACAGGGGGCCAAAAGGTTGTTTACTTAGTAGCTGTTAAGGTGGCCATACACTCTCAACCATCGCAAGACCTTAGTCTTACGATGGTTGTAAAGTAATTAAAAAAACGTACAATCTGCCCATCTTGGACAGGCAGATCGTACTCTCGATCATCGCAAGCCCGCCCCCCTGATGGGCGGGCTTCCGATGACCGCAATGCTAAACGGGCAGTATGCGCGTGCGCACACCGGCCCGTTCGGCATTTGACTCCCGAGCATCGTTCAAAACAGCCGAAAATCGTACAATTTTCGGCTGGTTTTCTAGCGTGCCCCTTAGACAAAAGACGTGCGACCGTACAGTAGAAACGGTCACACGTCTTCATTCACACTGCTCGATTCTCGTACGATCGTGGGATTTCCCGCGATTCTCGTACGAGAATCGGGGAGTGTATGGGTACCTTAACAGGGATAGAAAAGCTAAAAGCAGAAATGGACAATACACTAAGCATACAGTGGTGGTGATTTACTAAACTCAACACGGGTTGCGTGCTTGTTTTTACACAGCAAAACGTATATAATGCTGCTTCACTTCTATGCCTACAAATATTCTAAAAAACACTTTGAAAATGCTAAAAACAGTATAAAAAAATATGGAACTTACACACCACTGACGTGTTCAGCTCTGCATGAGCCAACTGCGCATGTGTAGAGGCAAGTTCACATGCTTCTTAAGCCCAGAAACACGAGCATGCCGATACTTCACAATTTCTTAACAAATAGCATAAACACGCTCATGCATTTACATTCCTGCATTCATCAACACAAGCAACACAACGTACAGCTAATTTACACAACATCAGCATGCAATTCATGGTGCAATGTGCACAACACACCTGCTGGGTGTGAACACACTGCAGAAGTGTATACATTCCACC